ATTTGTTCCTATCTATAGATGAGACTGCTCGACAGTGTAGATTAATGATTCCACGGTTGTAGTCTTCTAACTCAACATTAAGGTGATATTGTTGCTGAATCATTAGTATTTGGTGAATTTAAAATCATTGAATTATGTAATGACTGTGTCGTATAAAGAAATAAACGTTAAGATATGAAATATACTACTGTAAAAGAGTACCATTTTCAAACTCTAATTGTGCATAAAGAAACATCAATATGGCTGTCTACAAAAAACAATTATGCCAAAATAATTCGTGTCGTTGCGGTAATATTTGTGTAATGGAAAGACACGGAAAATAAGTAGTTATATGAGATTAAATACGAGAGAATTCTTCAAAAACATTTTTTGTTTTAATTTGTGATTCGAATACATGAATAAGAACAGTTACCAAATAAACAGAAATTATTGCCTACAAGAAGAAAGGAAGTGTACCAATAGATATAATCACTAATATTCATGACTGAAAAGTATCAGTAATTGAAAACAGCATTACATAGAAAGAATAAGAAAAAAAATTCTACATATCTTAGAACATAAGCGCTGATAATGAGGTTGCTTTGACGTTGAAAGCTTTGCATATTCTATAGTTTAATAGAAGAATGCCTGTTGCCGTTCATCTACTTCAAATAATTTCATCATTTATCAATTAATTTTCAACAAACAACAATGTATCAATCAGAAATTTGTACATGCTCACTCAGGATTTTTTCAGCTCGAAGTCAACAGTCTATAAAATATATTTTAATTAGTATAAATATAGATATTGGTAGAGAAATTCATACCAAGATCTTTTGATGAAATGTTTTCTCTGAAACGCTGCAAAAATTTTGACGGGTTATCAAAATACTTGTACCAGTATTGATATTCGTTCACATCCGCTCACAATAAATTAAAATGTATCATGGCTTTCGACACAATATGAGACACATTAAAGTCCGACATGAATTGCTCATTGTGACGCATTTTCACCAGCAATGGCACAAGATGTTCTTGAACAGCAATGGGATATATTCCAAAAACTTTTCGAATTGACACTGTTCTGACTAATAAATAATACACAAATAATCTAGAAAGATAAGAATATGTTTAAGTTATGATGTGGCTAGCTGAGTTGTTTATATGGAGATGTGTTTACAGTACATAACGGCGAATACATATGCAGTAGGCAGACCGAGATAAATTCCAATATTGCACATTCTAATTGTGACATATTTTCGTGACTGAAATTTTGACACTCTAAATTCTGACACCGTAACGTGAGACGCACAAATCTGATACATTTTAACGTAGTGTTCATTATTTAATTTTTATTTGACTTATTATTGATGATTCACTATTGCAATGTGATGCCTCTTATTTCATCATTAAAAGACAGATTCATACAGACATGCTTTGATAACGATCAATAATTTTACTTTTCTATAACAACATGGGTTTTCCCCATCATTCAACCAATTGTCATCATAGTGTACTAAGCGTCATATATGAGGCGCGTCATATAAAAATATATGAAGAGAACAAGCGATAGCAGTCGATCAAGCGCAAACGAAATGTATGTTACTTATTTTTGACACTGAAAACTGAATTTAGTGCATTTTTCTCTGATCCTAATTGCGTAGCAAGATCAATGTTCATAGGTTTCGACACTCGTTATGGTAGAAAAATATCAAATATTCGATTATTGGGTATATGATTTGAATTCGGTTTATTCAATTGCCACTTATGATATGATCAATTATTACATATTGTCATTCTCTACATTTATAAGCGTGCAGATAAATAATAACATAGACTTACGCAAGAAAAATCGTCGTCTTTCTTATTGATTACGATTATCAAAACTTTATGATCATAAAAGCTGCCCCGTCATTTGAGAAGATTTTCGATCGGTTTTTCATAGTATTTTTCCGAGAATTTATTCCAATCGAAATATTGAATTAAACTTTTCTCGTACAAATCTTATCAAGCCGATTCATTCTAATATTTTAAATGTAATTGAACAAAAAAGAAGAATACAATGAATAAAAAATTAAGTCTATCTCTCAGAACAACAATATATCAGTGTAATGAGACATGAAATAAGTTTAATCAGCTTTATCGAAAGCTAAAATTGTGAATTCAGCAAGATCATATACTTTGCTGATGTTAAATTTTTGGTGCACATATTCGCCATGAGGATGAGAGTGATGACGTAGATGAGTGTGGGTCTTGATTCCGCAATGTTCAACATCGCAGAATAGGATTAATTGTCCTTGTAGTTTGTTTGATACATTTTTTAGTGTCATTCATAGTTATTTTTCGGGGGGGATAACCCATTGTCGTCATCAAACACAGGTATATTATTTCGAAATAAGGGACAGTACCTATGTAAGATACGTGGAGCGTGTATGATTTAGTTTTATTAATCAAAATATCTGTATATATGATGCTCATCTACCATGAAGAAAATCCATAATGCCCACACGTACTCATCGATGAATGCTTCAAATAATTGTAGTATAAAATAGGAAGGTCTGATCTTTTTTTTTCATATTTACATTTTCATTTCGTTGATGTGTACAAAAGTTATGCATCCAATGGGTGATTTCGAAACTTTCTTTTATTACTATATAGGTATTATTTATGTTTGTGCTTTTCGTATTTTTTGTGCTTATTTGTTGATCCGACTTGAAAAAAAATATTACGTAGACTACTCCTATTAAGCAATTGATTTTTATTCATTGACTAACTATTATAAAACTCATCTTCAACGGATGATCTCTTTTTTTTTAGATATTTAATTAAGAATCTCGTCTGCAATATAACAAGATGAAGTGGTGGATACTGATATTTTATCTTCTTTGCATTTGTACAATATTGAGTGCTCCAGGCTATGATGCCCAGAGAAGAGCTCTACTCCGAGCCTTTATTCGTCAAGAAGCTTTCCACGGTCCATGCCCTCATCCAAGCATGTGCCGATCGAAATGGGGTGAATGTGGAACTGGACGTATTCATTGTGGGCCTGGCTGCCAGGCTGGCCCATGCTAAACAACTAAATTATGCCTTCGCATAGTTATTTAGTTTTTCCAGCGCAGATGGTGCGATTCTAATGGTAAAATTCAGATTATAATGACTGTGCTTATGAAACTCGTTATTATTTTGAGCGCTAGTACCTTCCGTCGCATACCGCTTCGTCATATAGTATAAACAAGAGAGTACGTTAATTGAATTAAGTGATATAGTTTTTATGTTACTAATTCATCGTTTTAATAAATGTTAAATGTGTTTCTTTACAAAAATGAGACTCTTTCTTAACAGTATAATTTTCTTTTCAGTAAATGATAGAAGTATCAATTTACCGTTTATTTATTTTAAATTTTAAATTACCCAAGAATTTAAGTTAAATTTTAAATAAAATTCTAGAACGTTAAACTTCAAAGAACTTCAATTTTTTTGAATAAAAGCGTATTTTAAATAAAGCTATAAATTAAAAAAAAGGATTTTTAAGTTGAAATGCCCAAGTCACTCGATCTTGCCTCCGGATCCTGCCGGAACCCATCGGAACCGGTACCGGATCACTCTAGAAACCGGCATGTTTCCCACTAAAATCTGTCAGGATCCGACAGGAATTTCACGGAGAATCTTCGCTCCAGGAATTCAAAAGAAAATGGTCCAATCGTCTCCTGGCGGATAATACAATCGAACATTGTCGAAGCCGATCGACTCCGACTACCGGATGATTCCGGATTCACCACGACTTCACCACATATTTAACTGGACTCCATTAGATTCCAATGGCACGGACTTCATACAATACCTATCATAGAAGCATTATTCAATCAGAAGATGAAATATCTGTATAGTCTTCCAAGAACGCACAGCGACCGACAAAAACACACCTCATCAATAATATCACATAGCCCCTAACATCAACCAAAACAGATCGCACAAAAACATTGTCGCCAGAAGCGACCACCCTGAAAAACATTGTAACCCGAATTGAACACTATCTGAGTCGCCAATACACACGCTTAGAATAATCCAGAATCATCCTACTATACTTTTTATTCATTAAACAAGATTCTAAACCTATTTAACGGATCATCTTCTAGCAATTTAATTCTTGAAAAATCGCTCCCCACATCATTTCCCACTCATCGCAATATTTAATAATTCATAGATAATGCATCTGAATAACATACTGGATCATTACCACATACTTTTTCATCATTTCATGAGATCCTAAACCTGTTTAATAAGTCATCTTGTAGCATTCATATTAACAAAAAAAAATCACTCCACAGATCATTTTGCACTAAACGAAATAATAAATAATTCATACATAATGCATCTGAATATCATTCTAGATTTCGTGAAACAGGATTCTAAGCATCTTTCATTACGGATCCAACCGCACTTTGTTTCGACGAAAATCACTCCCAACGTCAACTTTGACCTATCGAAAAAGTCACTAAGTCGTAGAGAATCGTTCTGATTATCATTCTGGATCGTTTCAAGATACACTTTCCTCGTACAACATGATTCTGAGCGACATTCAAAACCGATTTAATGGCATATCAGTTAATTAAAAATTTGTGTAACCAACATCCTAGCTTCCCCCAGAGCGTTTGTTGGTGACTTGAAATTATGCTTTCGGTCTTACCAGACCGAGCAAACACGTGTGACCGGCGGTTTAAATGATGTCGAGTTGTATGGATGAACAGCATAGTAACATGCGGTGCAAAAGAAATGGAAATAATGTCGGCCTCAACCGTTCAGCCATTTTACGAACTACAAAGCTATTTCTCTTTTTTTATTAGAAAGAGCATGAAAAACACTACAAAAAACTGCATTTAACAAATTGAATATAGTCCGTCTCGCCACATAGCCCGAAGCTTCTTTCGAACACTCTCAGCCATAACTTGCAACATTTTTTGATCAAGTTCTTTTGCTTTCTGTTTGATCCGTCGAGCTAATGCATCCAACTTTTTTGCTTCTCAATTATTTTCATATACGTTTCGTTCGAGTAAAGCCCAAACTGTTTCAATTGGACGAGCCTGAGGAACTTTTGGAGGATTATCCTGACGAGCAACGAATGGTGCGTTTTTCTCCTGCAAACGTTCTTTTACAAGATTTGAATAATGAGCACTCGCCAAATCGGGCCAGAAGAGATAATTTCCATTATGATGATACTTTTCGATAAAAGGAAGTAGTCTTTTGTTAACACACTCGTTCAAATAGGTGGTTTGAAGAACAGCTTGTTTACTTCTGTGGATGTACACATCAGAAACCCATTTCGAGGACATAGCCATCCAAGTTGTTAATTTTGGTTCAATTTTTTTTCTCTTTTGAAATTTAATGTTTGGAGGACTCGTAACTGGGTTAGTCGAATAAAAAAATGTATTGCCACCAACATTGTTGCCGTTTAATTTGAAGTATTTTTCATCATCCAAAATTACATCACAACCACTTAACAATTTGTGATACATTTTTCCACAATTTTTTCTTGCTCGATTTTCTTGATCTTCGCTGTACATTTTCGGAGCTTTTCGACGCTTTCTAATGACGACCGATGTTCTTTTTCTCAAGGTACGTGAAATAGTTGAATGATGTACCCTAAACCGTCGTCCTAATTTTCGTTGACTGAGACCACACCAATTATTCACAGATTTAACAAGACCATCCAATTGTTTAACTGAAATCTTGTAGGGTCGATCACTTTTTGGCAGATATTTCGTGGTTCCATGTTGATGATACTTCCGTAAAATATTATAAATCGTTGTTTGTGGAATATTTTGTTTTTTGAAACAATTTACCGTAGTTTTTACAGAGTTATTTGAAGAGTCAATATAGAAGTTGCAAATACGTTGCAATCGAGCTTCTCTTTCGTTTCGTGTCATTTTTTGAATGAATGGCCAGTAACGGCGAATTATATCTCGTTCGAAAGAGAAGAGCACGGGCTATCAGCTGATAATCAAATTGTCGTTCTACTATGTGTCCGTCCACCCGAAATCTACCTCAACATTATTTCCATTTCTTTTGCATCGCATGTTATGCAGATATAGCAAGTTAATCTCACCGTGAGCAATCATAATTGGCTGTGGATTTTGAGTTCGACCAGGAGATGATCGTGGAATCAGGTTATATTAGCAGGAGTTATGATAAACAACTTGAGTGAGATTCATCCGGGTCGATAACTTTCCCCAGCATCAATAAATACATGATCATGTTGCTACTGTGTATTGACTTTTCATAAATGACCTATTGGATGAACTATAATTTTTAATTCATGCCTATCATCTCTTGTATGAGCTGTTAAGTAACGGTCTGAATGGTTCATAATATGTTCCTTTAGTATTCCGATAATTACTTAGAGATATTTTCGGTCGGATCTGTGTTGCAGGAAGCGGTAAAATCCGGCGGGTAGAACCGTTCCGTTCTGATATGATCCGATGTGTTCCGGTGATACTGATTAAGCTGGATCTACCATGAAGTCGAGTGTTATGCGACACGGTGGATTTTGGTAAAGTTTTGTTACCGGATATTGCCGGATCACGTCGTATACGGCCCAATCGCATCATCTGACATGATCGTTTCCGCCAATGTAAATCTGGTCGATTCTCGGAGGATCTGGTAACCAAATTTCATAAGAAAACAAAGAAAATAGTCGGAATTCATCGGAAATTAATCGACCTAATCCGGTCACCATGTGACATCGGAATAATAATCCATCCAACAAGATTTGACTGATCGATAATCACCTGAGTGTTTTTTAAAACTATTTCTTGATTTAATAATTGTTTGTAAATAAAGATGTGCCACCTCTAAAAAATAATATCGAAAGAATACTGAAGTGTTATAAAATTTATTGACATGAGTTATTTTTAATGTTCATAGTATCTAAAATCTAAAAATTCATTTCGAAAATTTCCAAAAGTACTTCATCCAATAATCGAGTAACCGTGAAAATCACAGAAAATTGTCCTAGAAAATACTGAATGCATGATGCAGCTCAAGAAAGAGTACATTTTGTCTATTGCTTCTTGGTCTCTCTCTTAGCTCAAGATTTTCCCAGAAATCGTTTCCTTAAAGGATTTGAGTTGAGCTTCATTTAATAGCAGACTATTTGCCATGTAACAGCAAAAGCTTTTGAGTAATTGTTTTTACAGAACGAAATAATTTTTTTCTTCAAAACGCATCTATTATCCATTATATCGATCTAATTATTATTTCATAATAGAATGTTCATTTACTCGATTAATTGAATAACATACTAAACAAAATCACTTGATTTAATTAATGTATCCTCTCCTGTATATACGGCTGCCCTATCGTAACGAATTTTCTTTGTGACGAATCGATTTAAACCATTTCTCAATCAACTTATGTCACGGAAAATTTTCTTTCGAATATTGGGCACCAAGATTCCACATAGCGCTTCTTGATATTAGTTTCTTTGTGAACGAAGACACTTGTTCACATGAAGTTAGTTGCAGAATAGAAATCAAGGAATCAAACGAAACTCAATCAATCCTTGCCATAAAATATCTACAAGTCTGCTGATAATCGATAAAATAATAATTATCTCCTAAAGGAACGTACTGTAATTTTCAAGTCTTATCTAGGAGCAAAATTTTCACATTGTTTCACCTGTTGTATTCCAATATTTGCAACCATAGAAAAGTTCACGTTACCATTAAATACTAGGTTATGTTGAGTATTATGATAATCCTGACTGACTGTGATCAATATTCGATGCATCCAACAAAACTTACTCTACTCAAAGTTGATGTCAACCTTCATTACATATGGAACTGAAAGTTAACAAATGAACAACTTTACAAAGATTCAATCAAATATCCGAAATAGGATGAAAATAATGGTAAAATAGTAATGAAACGGCTGCCTAGTATCGCAAGAAAAGTCCTATAGAAGAACCAGCTAAAACATGCTAATACCATTGAAAATTCAAGTTTGCCGATAAAATAAATTGCAAGCAAGAAGTAAATCGTATAGATATGGAAGAACGTGTTTGTCAATAGTACCAACGTGGAAACTCTTCAGCTACCAGTATCTGCTGGTAGACACTTGCTGCTCCTTTGGTTCTCCTTGTTTAAAACACGATGAATATAACTCAAAGTAATCTCAACTGACGCTATGTTTGACTGCTTGTTTCCTGTACTAGTCTTTTGTATTAGCTATTTCAAAAACTCTCGTAATATCTTTCGATACGATTATTTTAAATAATCTTGATTCGTTTTTAATTGTGCGCTTTCATTTTTTTTCATCTTCTGACTAAAAGACTTCAAAAAAGATGATAAATTACAGTCGATAAAAATAATTTGTATTTCCCATGTAATAAAAACCGCATAAAAATCGGCGGTTAACCGCGGTTTTACCGGTCCGGCTACCGGCTCTCATTACCGCAGAACGGATAAATACCGCGGTTTACCACAAAAAATGAACTGGCCTTTACCGCGGTAAACCGCCGGTTTTGATTATTACCGCGGTTACCGCTAAAAAAAGCGGTTAACCGGTTCATCTATAATTTTTGACAGAAAAAGTCTTCCAAATCATCAATTAAACTATTTTAAAGATCCTTTTTTTTTACTTTTACATGTGATAAACATGCGCAAAAAACCGCCGGTTTACCGCGGTTTTACCGGTCCGGCTACCGGCTCCCATTACCGCAGAACGGATAAATACCGCGGTTTACCGCAAAAATTGATCCGGTATTCGCAACATGGGTTCGTTTGTCAGATTATTTATTGTAGTCTTGTAAGAATTCTATTTTAAAAAATAAATTTCACTGTCTAACTGAAAACGTCAGACTTTGATCTCAGAGCAGTTGCTATGCATATTAATGCTGCCAAGGTGAATGAATCCGACAATGAATCCTATCGGATCTCATGGGATTCGATAAGTCCACAAAATCCGATAAGATTCCGACACGAATCCGATAGGATTTTACTATCGGAATCATTCTCAGGGGTATCCGAAATTATAGAAAAACTTTATAATTTAGCGACAAATCAGTTTTCTTCACTTATAAATTCAAAGAATGAAATGAAGAATGTGGGTAAAAGCATTAAACTTTTGAATAAGTCAAATATATTTTCTGAAACTATCATCGAATCCATTGAACAAATGCAATTTAGTATTCACAATTTTCCCAGAATTTATGTTTTTATATTTGTGTTTTTTGTGTCAAAATCATAAATATTTCTTACAAAGTATCGTTGAACTATCACTTAAGCAAAACAAACTATATCTCTCGTGTTTATTCTTCCGTGCATGACTACAGAAGAAAAAACAGCAACTTACTCTGAAATAATTGCCAAGAGATCATATGTAGTATGCATGAAAGAAAAGTGTGAGCTCTGATACAATCAATGAAGTATATGATGTGCTTCGACCTTCATGAATGATCTAATCAGAGGACCTTCCTTCAACATTTTTATAATCTTTATTGATAATCCATCTGCATCCAATCTATATACAATAAAAAAATAGTTAATTTTCCCCCAATCTTACAAGATTTGTATAGAAACAAAAAGTTTGATGAAAATTTTCGCTACTTGTGTCTCTCAAAAATTACACAGAACAATCGAATAGAACACTATAACTCATAATTTCTCAACAATAGATAAATATATATATATATATATATATATATACACACGAAAGGTAGAATATGTACATTTTCTGATACCTCCTGCTTTCCGAAGATCATTCATTGAGACTTTTTCTGATATTCTCAGACTGAAAAATTAGACATAAGATCTTGCTATCTGATTTTTCGACTTGAATAACTACAGAGATAATTAGGTCTAAGTTGTGTGACTTTTTAAGTCATCTATATAATTGAAGATATTCGCGATATACCTTATAATTTTCTAATCTAACCAAATTTTCTCAATCATAGTCCTATTGACATCTATTTCGATTCATCTTAATAGTTGTCAAGTTTCAAGTGGCATTTTAATATGATTTCATTTCTTAAAATAAAAACCGAATCAATACTAAATTAACCCTTTCCAGCCGGCTCCCAAAAGCGACATAGTTAAAACTCTTCTTCTGCATATATTTTCTTATCCTGCCATAGAGATAGCAAAAAACTATTTCTTAAAATTGAACGGTGCTTCTATATTGAATGGCTGTATATTGCCATTTGGCAACAGCCAGCCGTAAAGGGTCAAAACTTTAAAAAATTCAGTTGTCATTTTCGATCATCGAAATTCACTATTTTGCGTTCCTTTCATTTAATTGTTCAAGAAAAAAGCGTAAAAAATATATGCGATACGCTTGCACAGTTTCTTCGCGATTCAAATCGACTTTTGTACGAAAAATTTGACATACGTTGAACTTAAGAAGAGAGTAGACGTATGGGCTTTTGTGTTAGTTAGCATCAGGATAGGTATGCTTGTAGATCTTTTATTTCTCTACACCCGTGCCAATACGTAAATTAAATATCCATTTCCATACCAGTCATTGAGAGCTACAATACTATCATGCTGACTTTTTTTTTATAGAAAACTCCATTTAAAGCTAGGGAAAACTATGTAAATGCATCAGATATGTTTTGTATGCTTTGTTCTTGTATGAATAAATGAAAAAACGCAAAATAGCGAATAACGATAGTCGAAAATGAAAAATGATTTTTGAAAAATTTTGACCCCTCACGACCGGTTGTTGCCATTTGGCAACATCCATACCTCTTATTGTCAGTACTCATTGAATCATCCCTTTGAGTGATACAATATACAATAGATCAAGGAAGGGAAATTTACCACTAGTGACCTGTGGGATTGAATGATTTAGGGTACCATAAGAACATCTATTATGATTCAGTTGTTCTTTAGAAGTATTCAGGAGGACTCCGGTAATTTTCTCAGCTGAACGTTTTTGTTGTGTTTCATAGACTGTGAGTGTGTTGTAAAATATCTTGTAGTAATTATTGAACTATTCATTCACTATCTGTTCACAGTATAGCTAGACCTTTCTTAAAATATCGGCACAATGTTGCCAAATGGCAACATCCGGCCGTAAAGGGTTAAATAGAATCATACATATCGAGAAGTCAAGTGCTTTTTTCTTTTCAAAAAACAAATGTTTTCATTCTGAAATACAAGTAGATTCTATACCTAAACGAACGTGAGAATCTTTTAGACAATGTTGTATATATTTCTAAAACAAAAAATAATCTTTATGAATGAAATTTCTTGTACTCTCAGATATAATTTAAACGGAATACTATCGTACAGAAAAAGAAAAAGAAAAGTGCAGCACGCAATTTGATCTGACTTGTTTAAACTGGTAAACATGTATTTTTGTATCCAGCATGTAAATAAAATCTATGGCAGCTCTTTGTCACTTGGAAAACTATACACTGGGACACGGCTGCTAAAATGAATCAATAGTCGTCTACAAGAACTTAGGGATGATTTCGGAAGACAAAGCGGCTTTGTCTCTCATCTAGTTTTTCCGACGGTTCTATAAAAAATGTAAATATCGACTGTTACTAGTAAATTTATGGCGCTTTGTTTTATTATTATTATTGAATATTTATTTCTATTTAATGTCCAATCCCAGCGAAAATTCTCCTACATCGAATTATTTATGTCAAAATTGCGGTACAATAAATACAAATGGAGCAATGTGCATTCAGTGTCGATCAGAATTACTTGAAGAAATTCCTGTAGAAATTCACGATAATCAATCGACATCTGATAATACTCGACAAGAGCAATTATCAGATAATAATCAACAAGTGTCTGTAAATCATGAAGTTCAAAATCTATTTAATAATACTAATGATATACAATTATTTGGTAATATGTTATTGAACATGATCATGTCTCAGTCACAACCCGTTTTGCTACCACAACGTCCTCGTCGTGGTAGACCGCCACGACGTATTAAACGTGTAGCACATTCATTACCAAGACGTCGATATATTCCTGCTCTTGATTTATTTCCATTGCAAGTTATTAATACTCAAACACCTCATATATCACTATTAGATATCGATGGATTACTGTCAGGACAACCATCAAACAATCAGCTTGAACCAAGCATGACTCTTGTTCGGTCGCCATTACAATTCGTTGTTTTTGATCAAAATGCAGAAAATTCGAATCCAGAAGTGTTAATACAATTGTTAAATGAAGATATCGGTACTATACCTCTAAGAAGAAATGATATTAATCAGTTGCCTATTTTAACTAGTAAGCTCAAGTTTTTTTCCCCTAATATTTATTTTAATCATCATTTAGAATTTAAAGAACTCTGGGATAATATAAAAAAGTCTCACAAAAAAAAATAGTTTCGCTTGTTATTTCTTTTCAATATCGATTTAAATTCTAATACAATTTTTAGTGACTCCATCCAATCTCTCGGTGAATCCATCGTGTGCTATTTGTCTTGAAAATTTCGATCCACTCTCCGAAGTGAAACAACTGCCAATATGTCATCATGTATTTCATGTAAATTGTTTAACAGAATGGCTTCTTCGCCATGCCAACTGTCCGATGTGTCGAACAGCAATAATTCCATCGATTCAACGAACGCCAACATCAATATTCAATAATTATTGGATGCAACAGTTATTTTCCCGATCAATCATACAACAACAACAACAACAAACGGATGCACCTTCAAGTAATAATCTTGTTTCATATCCACCAGTTAAAACAACAAACTCATTAGAAGCTCCATTAAATACAACAGAGCCTCATCATTCATCATCATCATCATCATCATCATCATCTGACATTCCTCAATTACCACATTTTGATTCACAAACACACACTGATCCCTCGTCAAATATAGAATAACATTCTTTTTTTTTATGGTAACGTTGTTAACAAAATTGGAAAAAAATTAATTAATTAAAGGCAAGAATATTCAGAATTTTTCGTTTTTTTTTAGTTTCTTTCTTCCAACTTTTTCACACATTTTTTTGTTATATCAGTTCTGCGAACACAAAAAAATAGAGGCGATGATTTCATTTTATCATCGAGATAGATAGATAGAGAGAGAGAGAGGTGTTGAAAAAAGAAATAACCAAGCATATAGATGATGGTTAACGAAAGTATATCAACAAATCTTTGTATATACGTATACAAGCTCAAACGAAAAAGAATGATGATGATGATGATGATAATGACTGTGACAGAACAGTATATAATGAAGTAGAAAACAGTTGAAAACAAGAGCATTTGCGAAAATACACGATGTTCAAAAACTAAAATATCAACACAAAAGAAAAAAAAAAGAAGCAAAAACAGAATAGGCTCACTGCGAGATGTACTGTACATACGAATAAAGAAGATATTAGAAAAGAAAAAACGAAGAACACATTATTTGATCATATCACTGTCTCTACACTCACAAAGAAAAACAGAATACAAGTCACTGTTCTTTCAAAGAATATTTCTTATTTTTTTCCTATCTGAGTGTTAATATAATAATTATTTCAAACAAAATATAAAAAACACGATTCTTATATGTAAACATATATAATCACCCCCAATGTGCTTGCAGATGAATTTGATGTGGTTGACATAAAAACTGCTGCTGCTGTTGCTGCTGCTGTTGTTGTTGTTGTTGTTGTTGCTGCTGTTGTTCCGATAGATCATTGCCACTATGTTGTGATGAACTATCATCGACATCATCAGCAATATCATCGTTAATTTGATCATCGTCATTCATATTTTGAATCAAACCATTTGGTAAAATTAATGAATTGAATTGCTGCGGTGATTTTGTCAATGAATGATGCATAATATTAGCATTACGATTTTTCTGATGAACTTTTCCATGGCGTTTACGTTCATCAGATCGAGCAAAACGACGACCACATGTATCACAAGAAAATGGTTTTTCTTAAAAATAGTAAAATTTAATTATCAATCGAATTTCCTCTATGCTTTTTTCTTCCTACCTCCCGTATGTGTTCGAATATGTGTTGTTAAATGATCAGATCTTGAAAATGCTCGAGCACAAATTTTACATTGAAACGGTTTATCTCCAGTATGAATTCGAATATGTCTACGAAGAAAAAAGTCGCATATAACAATAAATTTAAAAGACAAATAGGAAATTTCTCTCAAATGATATGATGAGGTAATAAATGTAAAATACCATTGTTAATGATGACAAGAGCACTTTTCTATTTGACATAAAAGACTATCAAGCTTAACAATAGTATAGAAAATGTAACACTTTTGAATACATATCAAAGATTAGTCACTTTCGTAATCTATTGTTAGTATTTTGGATCATTTTCTAGAATTTGACTATCAAAATGAGTGTAAAGTTTTTTTCCGTTTCAAAATCAAAAATTGTTTGGATAAACTGGGATGCCTTTTTTTCTTCTTTTTACTGATCAATCGTATTTTGAATCAAGTTAACATTTTGTTTCTTAAATATACCTTGTTAATTCATCCGATCTTGAAAATCTTCTTGGGCAAGATTCAATAGGACATGCAAATGGTCTTTCATGTAACGGAGTTTTCGATGGTCGATTTGGAGAACTTTTCGGTTTAATAAAATGCATCAGTTGACCAGTAATATTTGATGTTGGATAATCTTGTGGTTCATTTTTAACACAAGATGATATTATTGGCGTTTGTATGTTAAATGTATTAGTTGAATTGTTTGTCCAATCATTTGTTCCCGCTGATTTTACATATGAAAGACTGTTACCATTTAAATTTATTGTTGGCATAAAACCATTAATAGTTGTTGACGGTTTAACTAGAACTTCGTGATAGGACGGAGGTGCTTGATGTGTTTCATAGGAGACATAATGAGATTGATCAACATAATTCATTGTTGTCTCATTTGTTGATGATGATGAGGCTACTGTTATAGAATTTGATACTGATGTTGTACTGTTCGGCGGATTGATACTATAATCGGTAGCAACTGGATTAGATGTTAATAGTGAATGAATTTCATCATTAACATTTGCTGTATCAAGATCATTTTTCGTGTTTGAATCATTTAAATTTGAATTTAAATTTTCAATTAATGTTTTCGATGACACTGACGACGGCGACGTTGTTATTATGTGAGGAATAGACTTTTTTAGTTGTAGATTTAATGGAAATGGCTTATTTTCACTAATTAAACTACGTGGTAATTGCATTTTTCTATCGTCATGGATATCCGATGATGATGATAATATTGACGATGCATCAACAACGTTTGATAATGTTGAACTACTAGTAACAACTACTGATGAAGTCGAGGATGATGATGATGATGATGATGATGATGTTGTTGTTGTTGCTGCTGCTGTTGTTGAACTTTGATTCGGAGAAGTTTGATGAGATGTTACTGTATCAATAGACGACGATGAATCTGATAATGCAGGAGGTTGAGATTGTCCAAGCGATTGAGTAAGTATTGGGACACTTGGTGATTGGGTGTCTAAAGGTATAAAACATTACGTATTGTTATTTTGACGTGAAAATTATAATAAAAGAAGGAATAAATGAAAAGAATAAGATCGATTAGATGTTTTTGATATGAGCCGTCAAATCAATAGATGACAGAACATACGTATAGATGAGAATTACTAACAATTTAACTCAAAGCACGTTTATTTGATCATAAGAATGCATGAGAATAAATTCTATTCTCTTAATATAGTTTTAAAAACTTCTTATTGATTCAAAAGAAAAGTTGACGCGCCATTATTTTTAACACAAACAAGAGAAAAACAAAAAGAAAAAAAATATGCCCATATCGAATCCATTATCATTAATTGTTTCATCAACATTAAATAACGATATGAAATTCCTCTTTAATCCATTTACTTATAAATTCAATTTGAACGAACTCAAACCATCTATCGGTGAACCATTTTCGTATTTTACACAAGCATCATGGACAATATTTTCGCCATCTGTTTTTAATAATATTGGATCGAAATCATCGGACGTACCTGTTTCTAGTTCGTCAACGGAAATAACACCGAATGAACGACCGATTACAATTGAATGATAATGACGGATAAAAGTTTTTTTGCGTGTCCCCTCTTTTCTCTTTCTCTCTCTCCCTCTCTCCCTCTCTCTCTCTCGTTCTCCTTTTTTCTATTCGGCTGGTGCTACTCTACTTGATGATGAAACCTTTTCTTTTTCGATCGACCCAAAAAAGAGCTGTAGTAACATCAATTAAAGCAGAAGAAACGAGCGAATCGTCCTCGTTGTGCTAAGACCTCGTGTCAACAAAAGCAGCAAGCTCAGCGCAAACACGCCCTTTTACAATTCTTTCTCTATCGCAAAGGTGGATTATATACACTTGGTAGTAATAGGAGTTCAACGAATACGAAAGAAGTTCGAGGATTTTCTTTTCTTCTTCTTCTTTTTTTTTTATATTCGTTCGGATCGAGATCGATAATATAAATCCGAAGAAGAAGAAGAAGAAGAAGAAGAAGAAAAGTAGAATTTGAACAGATTCTCAATATGATAATCAAAAGATAATCATCATCTTATCTTCAAATACAGACACATTAACAAATATTAACCTGTCGATGACACAATAGAATAAAACAATGAAAAAAAATTGAAATTGAATTAACAAATACTAGTACTTATACATAGGAGAATACAATGCATTATTACTTATAACTATTTGCTATTAGAAATAAATATTCATTTCGAATAGAATAGATGATAACAACTGACTAAGTCAGCATCACCGCCTGTCACCACTAACGCTACTTGCTTATGTTGTTAATCATTCTATATACCAAGGTTGTCTTTCTCTCTTTCTTTCACGTTCTCACAAAATAACAGACACGACTTATGTGTTGATATTGTTCCTAATGAGACACAGATCGTCTATCTATCTATCTCTTTCGGATCTATTTATCATTCTGAACCGATATGTTTTTTGTTGTTGTTGTTGTCTCGTTATTTTTTGTTTAGTACAATTATCCGAAAACTCAAAATGATTCCGAAATAATTAAAAAATCTAGATAGCCAAGGACACGAAATCTTTTTTATTCTCTACTAAAAGTGACGAGTGACAATAACGTGATTAGAATGCTAATCTTCATTTGCTTTCTAAAAAAAAGAGAAAGCCATCTATTTCTATAAACAAGGATGAATCGACTTGTTGAAATCATATTAGAATATGTACAAACAGAAAAACCTTGAGCAGCACATACACGCACTTGACATCTACTAACTTTCGTAGTGAAACGTTAGATAACATAAATTAACCATATCGACATTGAATATTTACTTATGGCAATCATTGTCAAACTGTCATTACATTCATTCATTCATATATGCATATATACATTTATAATACTGTACCACCGAAGATAGTTTATAGGAATAGATAGTTGAATTTCCTTTTTTTTTTTATGTTTAATGAAATGTTGAATAGAAATAAGAAAACAACAATCATTTATTTAGGCAAATATTAGAAATTTTTTTTTTAATGTTTCTCAATTTCATAAATACGTAGATTGTATTTAAAGAAAGAGAGAGAGAAAAAAAACTCACCCATTAATGTTGATGTATGCATAGAACATGGAATGTCGTAATAAAACGATTGATTTTTTGTACAAGTATTTGGTGTATTTAATACAAAACATGGTGTTGTTGGTTCGGCTGAAAAATTTCCATTTATAAGAAGCATTTTTTCATTATTAACTAGTGTGGGTGTATGATCGTCATTTGAGTTTGTTACAACTGTGCTTGCTTTCATCAGATGGTTCATTCTGACAATAACGAGCATCACCATTTGATAATAAAAATCATATATCAATAATACACATATTTCTTTTAACGTGTGTTTTTCTATAATAATAAAAAGCAGCAAGATTAAAATTTTATTTCATATAAATGATTGTAGATAAGAAAATCATTTTACCTGACTATGGAATATATTAGTGAGCTATCATACAAAACTTCTATTGAAAGATAAGTGATGCGGGGGTAGCTGAAGTTTATATTTATGTGAGCAACTTCGTCGCGTGTGTCTCTGTCAAATAATCAATAAATCGTCTGATGAGTAAATAAATAAATCTAGAAGGAAAATATTACATGACGTTAATACCAAAGAATGGAAGGAAAAAACAACAAGATGATTCATGGCTTTATTCATTTACTAATAAGAGTCTTAACAAAAACATGAATTCTTCTTTTTTTTCCTTTCAACATATATACGTAGGAAAAAATGATTAATAAAAGCAGTGAAGCGATGCATGCATCTAGCAGTCATTCGAAAATCTAATTCATCAGGTGAATGGTATGAGGAAAAAAAACTTTCATGAATACAAAAAAGTACCTATACTCTCGCTGTTCTGCATGAATAATAACAGCTAGATAAGAGAACTTTCTATATTCCTGGCTTTTGTTTAGTTCTTTTTTTATTCAAAAGAAAAAGTCTGTCAATTTAAATAATTTTATCAACTTGTTAGAAATATACATACGAATGTAAGAGAAAAAACAATTGATTCTTGTTATAAACTCGTTTTGTTGCGTCGCCGTCGACGACGAGGGCGACGTTCGGGCTTTTTTACCCGATATTTTTCTGCAACAACAGCGTACACATAGACAGAAAAAGGAAAAAAAAGCATTTGCGCTGTTTTTTATTGCTCTTTAGCGCGATCAAATAACACACGAAGAATAAGAAGAAGAAAAAACGACTACGAGAAAAAAGAATCACCAGTGTAGATAGCACGAGCATGTCCTTCCGAAGAAAAAAAAGCACATGAATAATCAAGAACAGGTTACTGGTTCTGTTTTCTTTTCTTGCCTTTTTCGCACACATGTTGAGCAGTCAAACAAAGCAGATGTTTACTATTCTTCCTTGATTTATAACTAGAATATCAAATGACTTTTATCTAGCTTTTATGTCTGATCAATATATTTCATCGTATTATTAATAGGAGTTTATGCAATAATAAGACACGATAGTAACTGATACTATTCTCTCTAAAAATCGTACAGAAATATCATGAGGCATCTGCTGAGGCAAAAAAAGAACTAGCAGCAAATAGAAATCGGCAAATACTCTTCTTCTTCTTCTTCTTTGAATTTAAATAAAAAATCATTCTCTTTGGATTAAAAATTTTCTTTCGTTATGACTTGTTAAATTACAATCATTCTTTTTCTTTTCTTTAACTGAATTTAGAATTTAAGTCAAAAAGGCTATTAGGGGTCAAACACACTAGAAAAAATAAAACTGAATTAAGAAATGCGATTGGTTAATTCAGATTTAAGTCATCTTTTTGAAGTGAATTAGTGGTTAATTCAGGTTTAATTCGCGTAGTGTGTTTGACCCCTTATATAAAGTATAGGTTTTGGTTTTTGATGAGTAGCTCATCCGATGATTGGCGAATTTAATCAACCAACTAGAATCTTGCATTGAAGATGATGATTATGACATCTGGAATCTTAGGTTTTGCTTATTACTGTGTTTTTTTTATACTATTTTATCTACGATCTCATTTCAATCTACATATTAATTCGATCTGTCAAATTATTATTCGTTTATTTCTGAGTAATTTTGTGCAAGGTTTCGAACCGTGAAATAACTTTTCTGTAGTAATGTATATTGAAAAGGGACATATTCCATTGTTTATTAGAAAGACAAAATTTACTAATAATAATAATATCGAATTGAAATATTCGAATGCGGTTTAATTTTTCTCGATCAGGGGTTCATTGTTATATATCAACGGTTGTTGTTATTAATAAAGAATATATAAACAGCAACTATTCAATATATTTTATCATTGCCTTACAATTTAAACTTGATTTCTGTCTACCTCAACAAGCGTTTAAATGCTTTTGATTGAAACATATCTTGAATAAATAAATACCGAACGGTTCAATTTCATAATAATTGTTTTCTAGATTTTAAATCAATAAATTCACTAGTAATTATTAACTTAAAAACAAAAGAAACAATGCAACCATCGTTTTCGTCTAAAGAGTAATACTTAAAATTAAAATTTAATTATCTAATTTTATCTTTTGTTAGTTCAGAATCTGAAGAACGAAAACGATTAGAGCGACGGCAAAATCGATTTGCGAAAGAATCGACGACTGAAATTAATAAATCTGTAAAACAGAATAATTCTAAAAAATTTTCTATTTTCCGTACAAACTTTTATAGACTAAATCAGTCAACAAACCAAATGATATTCTGATAGGCACGTGTGAAGAATTAGAAAAAAATTATCTTCGTCTAACAAGTGTAAGTTTGATTTTTTGGATGTCATGAATTCGTTAGTTCTTTATGTTTTTAAGGCTCCAAATCCATCAACTATTCGACCGTTAGCTATTCTTGAACAAGCATTCCCTTTTGTGTTGAATAAATATCAATTAAATAATGATTGGTCATACATTAGTAGTCAATTAAAGAGTATTCGACAAGATCTTATAGTACAATCGATACGAAATGATTTTGCTCTGTTAGTTTACGAAGAAAATGCTCGACTAGCACTTGAAATGGTGTTTAACTATAATAATAAAAACATCGATTTTTTTTACTCCATTTGAAAATAATCAATTTTTAGGGTGATCGTGATCAGTTTGTTCAATGCCAAACGCAAGTGGAGACGTTATATGATAGTGGTTGTAATCGTACTCATTTAATGGAATTTCTTAGCTATCGTTTACTCTATTCATTGTTATTGGGTGATTGTCAAAGTAGGATACGAAAAAAGTATTTTTTCCATCTTAATGAGTTATTTTTATTTTTACTTTTCACAGGAGTAAATCGAACATTAATTGATATTCATGAAGAGAAACTATCATCAAGAAAATCAAATGACATTGATATCGTTCTTGATTTCTGTTCATCATTTCGTCGAAAAAATTATACGCAATTATTCATACTGTACAAATCTTTGCCAAGACGTGCTTGTTGTGTAGTCAATTTTTTCATCGATATTTATCGGAAACAAATGATTCAAATTTTCATTTGGGGGTTGGTTTTCATGAAACTTATAATTAGAAAGATAAATTTTGTCATTCTGTTTTCAGATTTACTCCTACACTTCCAATTGATATTGTTACTACTATGTTGGCTTATAATTCAAACGAAATTTGTAAACAACATCTAACGTCATTGGGTGTCATATTCATAGATGAGTCCATGTCTATTATTGATTGCAAAAAAAGTCGATCAAATTTTGATAAAAAATAATATCGAATGACCAGCTGCTCATTTTTTTGGAAACAATCAAATTTGTATTCCATCCGGATAGATTCGATTTTTTTTTGGATGCGACCGCCATTCGTCTCCACGCCCGAATACAAGCGAAATAAAAAAAACATGTGATCTTCAAGTTTTACACGAAAAAGAAACAATTTGTAATTCTTCTGCCGAAACCGATCGATTTTTTACTTGTTCACTTTCATTATTTTTTATTTTTAAGTATTTTAATTTCTGTGAATATAAAACAAAACAGAAAAGTTGAATTTTACCAATAGTACAAATTACGATGAATGGTAAATGTAATTCGTGTTATAGGAATACACTGACAGGCATGCTGAATATACCAGATGAAATTTGAGAGAACAAAATATTTCCATGGTAATTTTCAACTATATTCTGCGAAGTTGAAATATTTTAAACCATGATAAAGAAAAAGCCTGTCTTTTTTTTGTCGACGAAACGCTGTGTATGACACGGCCTTATTGACATACTCGAATAAAGAGAAGAGTGGAGAAAATACACGATCACTGTATTTCAGACAATCATAATCGATATTGTTACGACTTCCTTTTAACATATAATAATAATACGTCAGCAGCTATCAATGCATACATGTTTTCAATAAAATCAATCATTTATTTTAACCTGATATATCTCGTTATTGCTCGAAACGAGTACAATGATCATCAGGCAGACGAATTTCAAGTTAGGAAAAATCTCACACTGGGTTATTATACTTTTAACTACATTGTTATTAAATAATATTGTTGTGGTTTTGTTTCATTTAGATTGGTTGAAATTAGAACTAAATTCGACAGAAACAGAGGGTATATTTCATTGTTCGAGTCCTGTTGAATTACATAAGCAACGAGCGAAACTCACCGTTTCAATTGAAAGACCAATTGTTACTCCTCCAGCATTTCAATTAC